ATTCTTGGCCCTTTGGAGCCAGCTGTTATGGCAGGCATTCGATCGAAATTGTGTTGTATGTTGCCCGATTGCTCCATTGTTAGCATGGATCTCTCGGAAATCGGCTAGATGGGAGAAAAATCACTCAACAGAGGGATTACTTCTGTAGATGGTCTCATATGTAGTCTTGACCAGGCTAGCCGGGGCACTGTCATCTATAATATGTAACTAAATGCTCTTAATCAAGCGTCTCCTGTGCTACTACTATTGATAGATTTCTACTCCGTAAGCCAAATTCGGACTCCTAAACATCTCCATATCCAGTCTGCTCAGGCCCCTGTAGTTCAACTAGTTTCAGAACTGGTCGCAGTCCTAACTCCAAATAGACAAGCGATGTGGGATGCTAAATCAAAAATTCGGAAAATAGTCTGCCTGAACTCCGGAAAATTGAAAAAAGCATTTCCTAACAGCTGGTAAGGCAAAGCTTTTCCCAAATCGAGTAAAAGCTCAACATTCCCTCGACTTTATTAGGGACACAAAGGCCATGTCGGAGCGAGTCCAACTGGGATAAAGTACTGGACTACTGGTAATCCTGCCGAGACAGCGTACAGCACAAGATCGGACACATGGACATCTCCGAAACATATTTACAGATGGATTCAGAAATAATATGATATGAGTCTCGGAAGTAGCTCCCGTCACTCATGAGGAATGACAGACAGTAACGATCAGCCACTGACGGGCTGACAGCGACTCCAGCGAGTATTCAGCTCATGTCGGACGAGATTCTGAAACGCCCGGAGTGGGTACTCTGAAGCCTCAAGGATACAAAAGGAATGCAGCATAGCCGCCGTTATTTTACTAGTCTTTTCTCAGTAGCGAGTAGCGGAGTATCTGGTATCGGCTACTCCGTACATGTTGCTGACCTTTATATCCCAGCCACAAAGAGAACATAAGATTCATACGAACTTACAAAGTCATATTAGCCAAATTACGAGTCAAAAGTCCCCTACTATGCGTAGAAAGAAATATCCAGGCCGTCATGCTTGCAAGTCTGGAAGATAATTCCCATCCTTCAACCAATCATACTGGATGGACATCTAGGGTAGTCCGAGCCATGGAACATCGGCATCCTCCCAGCCCCGAAGGTACATGGATCTGGCTGAACGAGCCACTTACAAGCCATAGACAGCCACGCACCGTAGCCGCTCCGCAGCCTTAGTGCGAGATATTATGTGAGAATGGAGATTCGAAAACAATTATTATTATCTTTGGCGCTCCTTCGTGCCCTGGTGGGACTTGTCTCAAGTAGTACAACTGTACTAGAGGTCAATAGTTTGATTACTATCCGTATGTATAGTCACTAGGCCTTTTTGAGCATCTAGTATTTTCTATTTTCCTGCACTCTGCAGTTTCGTCAATAGCTGCAGTCACTCAGATAGAAGTGGGACGATCGATTTGAGTCAGTGGCTGACGAGATAAAATGAGTTTAATCAATAAACCTGGTCGAGCCAGGTCATGACGACATGACCGTCGAGCCTCGGAGGTCCATGGGAGATTCTATTGGGGGGTTGTGCGGGATAACCGTTGTAAAGAAATGTGAAGACACATGGAACGATCCCAGAAAAGGATTGGTTCCGATGCCATCTCTGTACCTAAACACCTAAAGTAGGTAGATTGTATATATTTGGGCGTTTTCATTGGCGAGGAGCAACCCGCCAGTCAACGAACGCTCTGGTTCCGCGATGTAACAAGTTTCAGGGCAGCCTTAAGTTAGGCTAATCGATCACAGCACTCGATGACAATAATAATGATGGTATGATGGCAATAATAATAATATGCATGGTTCTATCGAGAGTGGTGTGGTAGTTATGTATCCTGATGTACCAAGTCAACGCCTTAATTCTCTTCAATCATAAAAGAATCATCAACAATGCCAGTATTGATCTAGAATCTGCTAGTCTGCCCTCCACAGTTCCAGTACATATCAACGTCCATCCACACTCTTCACTCAGAGCAGGTATTTTGTACTACATACTATTTACCTACTGCATCATGATGCTCACTATCATCATACCCTGATATCCGCATCATCATTCCAATTCACAACCATCACCGTCCATATTAAGGGCTAATTCTTCAGACCTCCAAAGCTCAGATTTTTTGATTGCATGGGTACCGTCTGAAACCGAAGCCACATTCCATTGCAAACCACTTTACTCCGTACTATATCATTGACCCAATTGGGGATTGATTGCTGCACTTCTCCCCTTTCTTTCATAGTCGAAATTCTTTGCGCCCTCTTTTTCTACTAGAACTAGCTGGAAGAAAACAAAGGGAGGCGGATAAAGGAAAAGACAGAAAAAAAATCCGGAAAGTGGACCGATCTGACCCTTTAGACAGCAATCTACGGGGCGGTCCCCTTGGCGTCGAATCCCTGACGGTGGTACGCTAACAATAATAAATAATTTATACCTGGAGATACCTGACTTCCACTGTCCCGGTGTCTTCCCCCACTGGCCGGCGTCTTGTATATCTATCCACACCTGCAATCACACACCTTTCTTCCTCCTTTTTCCTCTCTCATCACCAGCAGATCAGGTTTGCTCAAGGGTTCACTGAAATACATAGTTGACCACGACACTACTCGACAGATATTTCAGTGAATTCCTTCTGCAAACCTTGCTTTTGACTGGAGCTTATCCTCGATTTCCTCCACCACTTAATCTGTCTGCCACGCATCGACTCTGGTTCGCTGTTTTCTCGACTTTACCAAGCGCCCAAAAATCTGGGCCTGATTTTCACGAATTAGTCGGTCGCACATCTCGGCCTAGTCTTTCTCTTATTGCCACGAACTCCGATTCTCTGGATAGTGACAATGAGCTCGCCCTCTGTCCAAGTCCAACATCAACCCTCCTCCGGCGCCAAGTCTGTTACCTCGCCCTCAACCACCGATTCCGGACCTACCTCAACGAACTTCGATATCGTCCGTTGCTCGAGGTGCCAGCGCTCTATGAGCCTCGAAAACGAATCTACCCCAGGCGTCGTTCGTTTCGGCATGAATTCATACTACTGCAGTCGCTGTGCATCCATGGTCGGCTTCATCCGCTGAGTCCGCCTCTGACAACAGATCATGAAATGCGGGGAATTTCCATGATATGGAGTCGAAAAGAACAACCTGGTCGCCGTCATAAGGAACACAACTCTGTGGCTGTTCACCTATAAACGGAGCTTTGACGTGGTTCTCCTGATGCCTTTTCTATTCGCCATTCGCTCGACGATATTATTGGGATACACTGGACGGTTGATTCTTTGCATAATATCGAGTCGCGGACTTTCGCACCCCTCCGATCGCTTCCCCAAAGTACCCGTCTCATCGCATGAACAACTCACCTCACTGTCATCATGCGTTGGTTGTACGTTGCTTGGAGCACTACGACGATCCATCCTTCTGACGATATGGTTCGCAAGATGGTATGCCATATGTGTTGACATCGAGACAACGGCGAAGTCGTGTTGGGTCCAGCTTGTCGGCTCTACCTACGCAGCCAATCCGAAACATGACAAGCGTGAAGACGATGGCAGAGATTTGAAGGAATCACTCTAGCGAAACCGAATTGTTGGATCGCAATGTACCCTGCGTACTATTTCTATTTCCTTTGTATGGCTACTGGAGTTTTCCTCTTGTTTAGTCTGAGCTTAGCGACGTGTTTTCATCATCATAATACCCAGAAGGCTTCCTTCATGTTACTGTGCACTTTATTCTCCTCTGTGTGTTATATTATGAGGCTACTCTAGCTAGTGCGGAATACAACCCGCCAATAAGCATACAAGCAGATGAGTCCATCTGTTCCCCAGCCTAGATAGCGGCATGCCCATCGTGTCTATCATAATGTGAATCCTCAGCTTTCCAAAGATCGGCACCAATCATCAAGCAATGTGTCGATTGATACTCCTCATTCCATACTCCCTGGTTGGAGCTCAGCCTCCCCATCAGAACAACTCGCCTCGGTTCGTCTGTTCTTCAAGCAGAGCAGTCTGCAGAGTCCTTGCCCCTCACATTACAAGCGGGTAACGAATTGCATCAGGATGAGGGAGGAATACAGTAAAAGCTCTGTGCAACATGCCTGCAGAGTTCTCCAGGCACCCCTCATTCATTCCAAACTCAAACTCCAGAGTAAGACTGTCTACGGGGGTACTCCACTAGGACCTCCCTAGTTAGATGAGGGATACTCCGCACAGGGGGCTTATCTCCAGCTACCCCTCCCCCTCCCCCTTGCTGTCGATCCCCGTGACCGGCGTTTCATGTTTGCGTCGCACAGTACAGCAATTTACAACGGGCCGTCTCGAGAATTTCCTGTTTTTGTTTTGTCGTCTTTCTTCCCTAGTGATTTATGCTTCTGCCTAGGATATCAGCCGACAGTATAAAACACAGGCAGGGGAACGAGGGAACCCCTTTTAGCCCCGGCATCAGCCCATGTGGTGGGCCCGTGATTGTTGATTAGGATAAGGCGCTGATCAGCGGGTCTGAGCTCTACACTTTATAAACTGTACTTACTCAGTGGATGGTGCGGCCATATCAAGTCGCAAGTTCGCACTCATCTTCGGTTTATTGAGATCTGGATAAATGGCGGACGACTGTTCGATTTGACCTTGGCGCTGTTCGGACCACTCTTGATGATGATTGTATCGAGAGTTTTACTTGCTAAGCTCAACCAAGCTTGTGGTCTATCTATTCGTGGAAACGTTGTTGCGCACATTATCTAGGCAGACTTCAGCAGTTCAGCTCCTCGTATTGATTCTATTGAGATGATGCGCCACAGCAAAGGCATCGGACGAGTAAACAGCTGTGGCGTGCACTGTTCTTTAGCACTCGTATTCGCATTCCTATTCCTGTAAGATACTAACCTCCTTTCGGGTCAAAGTATAAAGACATGGCGGGCCAGTTCCCTTGACATGGCGATGGACCACACGAAATAATGTCCGAATGAATACGGAGTCCAAAGTACGGATACGGTGCAATGGGGAAAAGCATCATCATCGTCGGCGGGGGCATGTGCGGCCTTGCCTCCGCCATCGCCATCTCAAAGGCGCTCTCCCCATTTCAAACTAACCTAACCATCACAGTCTACGAGCTTCGCAGCGTCCCCAGCACCCTCGGCGGGCCGGTAAATCTCACCCCGAAGGCCCTCCGATGTCTGGACATGCTCGGCGTGTTGGACGAGTTAAAGCAGGCGAAGGCCGGCTGCGAGGTCGACGCCATCCAGATTCTCTCCCTGCGGACCGGCAAGGAGGTCGGGGCGATCGACTATACTGGTTCCGAGGGGACCGGGTTTGGCGGGTACAAGGGCTGGCGGGTGATGCGGTACGAGCTCCTGCAGGCGATGCTGCGGGTGATTGCGCGGCTACCGGCCGTGAAGATCGAGTATGGCAAGAAGCTGGTGAGGGTCGAGGAGCGCGCCGGTGTCACTGCAGTGAGCGTCTACTTTGAGGATAGCACAAGCACCGCGGGAGATATGGTGCTGGGCTGCGATGGGATCCATTTTGCTGTGCAGGGGATACATGTACAGCCGGACCGGAAGCCCGCGTATTCTGGGGTTGCGGCGGCGTATGGCTTTGTCGAGGCGAAGGCTGTGCTTGGGGTGAACGGCAGGCCGTTTTTCAAGGATACAGCGCTGCTGATGTCGCGGTATGGGTCTGTGATGACGACCTTCTGCGACCATGCTCGGGAGCTCGTCTACGTGGTTGTGCTGATGCGGACGGAGGAGCAAGGGTCCCGCGAAGGGTGGAAGTTGCTGGAGAAGGACCAGGAGATGGTCCGGAAGGAAGGGAGGAGGATCACGCAGCAGTCAGCAATTCCTGACGCTGAGAAATTCATCGAGGCTGTGGAGGACTGGACGTTTTATCCGATCTACCTGCTCCCGCCGAACGGGCAGTGGGCCACAGATCGGGTGCTACTTCTGGGAGACGCTGCCCATGCGGTTCGTAATGGTTATCTCTCACCTAGGAAACTGGCATACTGACGCACTCTGCACTAGATGCCTCCAAAAGGCGAGAGCATCGGTCATGCGCTCGAAGATGCGATCAAATTTGCCCGAGGTCCTCTCGCGGTACGGGGTAGACGACCCCAGGACCAGCTTCCGCTTCTTCGAAGACATTCAGCGAAAGAAAGTGGAGGCCGCCTACCAGGCCGCCGTTAGAGGCTGGATGCCGGCCCATGACATGGGCGCTGTGTTTTCTAGGGTATTCGAGTGGATCACTCCATTGTTCTTGTGGTGGATGACGAGGGAACAGCAGCAGGACTTTCTGGAAGATCCCACAAACATACCATTTCCAGATCGTGACGAGTCTGCAAGACTGTGAGTGTACTCCGTAGCGTGCAGTGATATATGCTATGTCCACTTGTCACAATGATCGGCAATAAGTTATTTTGGATCGCGTGGCATTGCGAACTATCTATCATTAGATCAATTGGTCAGAGTTGGCGAAATGACCTCGCAACCAATCTCAAGGGGTGGAGCAATTATGTGCGAAATATTAGTTTAGCAGCAGGGAGAGTCTATTGTTTGATCTGCATAACTATTGTATTTTATGTTCACAAGTAACTGTAAGACATGGAGGATCTCCGCAGTGAAAGTTAAAGATCATATTCCTATCTACTACTCCGTAGTACACAGCACATATGACAGTAGGCGTCATAAAAAGTGAATAAAGGCATATGATTACTCCGTACAATGACGATATTTGCTCATCAGATCTACTCGATCTCTGAAAGAGTCTGGATGACTAAAACAAGAACAGGAGATGCTTAGAGGCTCAGAGGCAACAACTTGGGCACCAGGAACAGGCAAAATCTGCAGAGAACGTACCTCTAAATCATAAGCGCGTCTACATAGAGATGATATCATGACAAGAACAATAAGCTCATGTCATTGAAAGGTTAAGTCGTTTGTTCCTATTCCATCTGCGTCAAACCGTCGAACAATGCAAGCTAAGATATCCACCATGTCAAGGAAAACTCTCGCGGAAAGTCATCACAATTTGGAATTCAAGTCTCTGACGACTCAGGTATCATTATCTCAGCTGAGCCATTGACATATATGCATCCTGCACAGCTTCAGCCCCCTAGTCTTAGTCAGTTCTTTTCTTTGGGGGCGGAGAGGGGGCCTATTTCCCCTTCCCCTTCAACTCCGGTTTTCCAGGAGCAGCTTTCTTTGTTTCTCTGTCTGTAAAAGGTGTCTCTGCGTTTGTGTGACATTCTTTTGCCTGTCGGATGTGGACGAATGACAGACTGGCAAAAGCGAAGAAATTGTAGCGGTGACTGTGGCGAGGCGGTGGTTGATAGCTCATATGCACCAAGGAAGTCCAAGGGTGATCCCTGACAGATCTCGGAAGGGCCTCGAATGATGGATGAATTCTCTGAAAGACTGAATGGGACCGAATCAAGGGATGACTCGAGAGCATTTCTTCGGTGGTCAGACAGTTCATTATTGTTCAATTGCTTGCTCACCGACGCATCATTCGTCCTTGGTCATGGCTGACAAGGCCATAGTGATCATGCCTATTTTTGGAGAACCCGCACACACGGACAGATTTGGATCTCTGAAGGATTCCTAGTCTGTAAATTCCATCACCAACGTCATCTCTTTGCGTTGGGTCGAGGGATACTCATCGAAGCAGATGGTCTGGCACCCGAACGAAGAATACCTGCCCATCCTCAACCATCTCTCCTACTGAATCAATCGAACGAAATGCAGGTGATGGACCGCCTCGTCTTCCCTAACCAGTAAACATCCTTTTCTCTTCCTCCAGATCTGGCGGTGTAACCTGGAGATGCCAAGCGCTATGTCCTCGTCGTAGATATACAGTGACTGAGTGACAGTGACTACTGTGTCGCTCCCAGCATACTTGATCACCTTCGGTTTCATATCATATGTCGGAGTATGTAAGACAACTTAGACGACTATTTCTACACCACATAAATTATCTAGGACCAGAGGAACCTTCAGGAAAAGTGTTCCTTTGTTTCGAGAATTGTTCTCCGTGTCTTCTATCCGATCTGTCATAGTTGATCGATGCATGACATATCGTCTTCTCTCTGGACCGCTCCACTAATTGCTCTGTGCAGAACAGACAGGCTCGATTCCCTCCAACAAGAAGTTGATACATCCCATCTTCTGATCGGCAAGTCACCAATTTCACTCCACGCTAGACGAGTTGACGAACTGGTGGCTGTTGATGCCAGATCTCTTCCCATCTACTATTGTCACTATCGCCATCTCTCCAACATTGGATTCATACCTGGTACGATCATCTCCCTTGAAACTTGCAGAGAATAAAACGACCTGGTTTCGCCTTCTTTCCCTCTTGATCTTCTATTTTCCTTCTTTCATTGTCAAAAAAGCCAGGGATTCACGTTATATCCTGTCACAACCCCATTTGTCCTCTTCAGCCATCAGGTACCCATCAGGTTCAACTTTGCCACCAGTACCCCTGACGTGAAGGAACAGTCAGGCCTTTAGGTAGGAATTACCGATTCTGGTTATCTAGCTACCCTTGATTAGTTGTTGACCGAGTATCGACCGTCAGACACGCATGCTGACTCTCACCAATTTTCCAGACCGTTGCTTTTTCGGGCAGTGACCCAGCCTGACTATCCGCGTTTCGCTGCATATAGAGTGGCAGGTTGCCTGAATTCAAAGAATTTGTCTTGACACTCCCTACTTGGAGAAAGAGACATCCGGGACGTTCAATTACTGCAGATCCGTGGCCTGGCCCAACTCAGCTATCATCATGCCTTCGCGCGACAGAGGACGAGCTCGAGCTCGAGCATCAGATGAAGAGTTCGTTCTATTTCTCCAGGGTGTAAGCACCGATCAAACTCCCCAGCTGAACCAGATGGCATGTCTTACTGAGAGAACAGATCCCAGCCCACTGCCGCTGGCAAGAGCTCAAAGACATGGTACGCCAGACGGCCCTGCATATCCGACAGGCAGTCGTATACGACGACCAGCACGGGTTTCCAACTGGTTTGGGGCAAATTATCGTGAAGAACGAAGATGAAGCATGGCGCACATACCGTACGTGAGACCGAGCATGATGATGGATTGACGGCTAAGCGAATGCTCAGATAGACTCTCCACCAACGGCTGGGATGGACAGAGTCTCGTCGTCACTCTGGCTCGAACGAGCTCACCTACAAGGCCTGTTGCCGGTCCCACGAAAAGCCCCAGCTGTGTGATTCCCCCGGCATACGTGGCAGGCTATTCCACTCCCCCTCGAGTTGCGCAGAACTTGGCCATCCCTCCTTCACCAATCTCCCCAGAGTGCGTCCCCTTCCTTGATGGCAGTGTAATCCAGCTAACGAGAACAGCACCCCCCTCGTCTCAATGGCTCCAGCTCCAGCCCCAGCTTACCAGGGCCAGGGCCCAGAGTATGCACCGGTCATCAACCCAATGGCCATGCCCCCTCCTCCACCCCCCTATCTCCAACCCTTCGTCCCCATTTTCACCGACCAACTACCGAGCATCCCACACTCGCCATCCCTGACTCACTCCTTCTGCGACACTCTCGCCTTTGCCATGCTCCCCACATACCCTATTCCCCCGCTACACCTTCCTCACCCCGACCACTCCTTCACCAACACCAACGGCAACAACAGCAACACCAACCCCCGACCAAGAACCACCTTCCACCCACACAAACCCTCAAGCAGCGACCAAACCCAACCAAATCCCCGCTTCAGCCCCCGCCGCACAATCTTCATCCAAAACCTTAGCCCAACAACCACCCCGCACGACCTGACCCTCTTCCTCCAAGACGCAGGCACAATCGAGCAGTGCGAGATGCCCTTGAACCCCGACACAGGCCGCTGCAAGGGCTTCGCGCGCGTCACCTTCCGCTCTGCCGACGAGGCAAAGCGCGCCATCGCGCTCTACAACACGGCGTTTTTTCTTGGCTCGAAGATCAGGGTTAAGATTGATCGGAGTGGGTACTTTTCTTCGGGTCAGGGCCATGCACAGTGCCAGGGTTACGCAGCGAGGGAGGGGTATTATCTGCCGAATAGACCCAATCAGCCTGAAAGGAAGTCCGCTGAGGGCGATATAACCCCTGCGCCGGGGACGGGTCCGGGTCCGAGGACGGTGGACAGGAACAGTGGGCCGCAGAGGGTGACGGAAAGGGACAGATGCCAGCCACTTGTGGTGAATGGGTCCGGACTGGGGAGCAAGACGGCGGTGGCGATTTGATCTAATGCATAGCATCTGGGTGTTGAGCGTATGTATACTTGCTTCTTTTCTTTGTCTTTGTCTGCTGAGTTGAATGGGTTGGGTCTGCTTCCTGCATCGTTGCTTTCCATTTGAAATTTCAGCATGCCATTGCTGCTGGGCGTCAGGGAACACATAGAGGGGGTGAGATGGGATGTCGCATCTGCGAATGTCAAAAGTTCATTGCCTAGACTAATTAACAGTAAAGTCATCATTCATCAATCGTTCTGATCTAACAATACATGCACATGCATTTCGTCCCGTTCCATTTCAATGCATCTTCGCGTCTCTTTTCCTTGCCTCATTATTCGTTCAGTATAACAGTAACAGTCCAGTGTGGTATGGCAAGCGCAAGCAGAAGGCAGAAAGCCCTCAGGTAGCCACAACACGACAAAGCAACGGGGAAAACATCATAACCCAATCGGGTGACAAAAAAGAAAGGCAATATGCAAGCTGTAGATAATACATGTTACCTGGTATGTTACATGGGCGATACGACCAACAGGCCTATTTAGCATGATCGATCAGCTCCGCATAGAGAGCATCAGGAATCTTCCGGACAATGAGGACAGTCAGGGCAATGATCTCCTTTGCGTCGAGCGGCGGGAAGGACCGGAGGATCTTGTTTGGGCTGTGTGATTGGTCAGATTCGATTTGTCCATGCATAGCAATGTGATATGTGACTTGTTGATATTGCTCACGCGGAAAAAGAAGAAAACATACCTTGGACTATCGAGAATGGTATCCCTCATCCGGATCAGCTGCGCAACGATGCATAGAATATTCAGATGTGGGCCATATGCGAACAAGAAATCCCACAGGTGGAGCACTTCTGGCAGTGGCGGCGTGCAGGCGCACAGTGTCAGAACAGATGGGAAGGCGTAGAGCTCCGCTTGCATCCCCTTGGAGAAGAGATAGGCGGCGAGCTTGGGCTCGACGATCTCGAGGCATCGATCGACCAGCCGCAGACCCCGGTGGACGCCGTCCATGGCGCCGCGGATATAGCCTGGGCATTCCCTGGTAATGAAATAGTGAAACAATGCAAAGGCCTCAACTTCGCTGCGCGCCACGTAGAGAAAGGGCGCGCAGAGAACGTTCATGCCCTGCACATAGATCGCCGACTCGCTGGTGATGGATTCACTGCTGGGTGTTGCCATGAGGTTGGCATGGTCGTCTGTAGGCTCCTCCTCTGCGATGCTCGGTGGCGTGTTGATCAAAAGTTCCATTTCCCGCCTGCGGGAGGTCGATAGGCGCGATTTTGGTCGCTTTTTGGCCTTCGCATCGTGAATCTTCCATGCTGTGGCGTTGAGTAGTCGGATCAGGCTGGCTTCGGTGACACGTCGCTTGAACAAGGGGTCGGTTGCTAAGGTGCGGAATGTGTCGTTGCGGATCTTGGTATAGGCCGGCGAACGACCGCGATGGATGAGTGAGAGGTATTCGTCGGTTGGCAGGGGAGGGATATCGAGTAGTGTGAGCCATAGGTAAACGCGGTATGTCGACTAGGACAGACATGTTAGCATGGCAGGCTCATTCTCCGCCTGGAGGTCACGGCGCTGTTGCAACACCACATACCATGCCATCACCATCTGCTTCCACCCTTGTCGACAGGACAAGGTATCTCAGCTCCTTCAGTGCATCCTCGACGTCCCCATTCTGCGGCCCATCCCGTAACAGCGTCTCTAAGACTGATCTCTTGATCCCAAACCCCGAGCCTGTCTTCCTCCCCGATCGTTTCTGAGTCTGTAAGATGGGTCGTTCGCCAGAGCCAGCGTCACTATTCGACCTGGCCCGACGGTGTCGCAGCCGAACAGGGGAATCCAAATGTGCCTGTTGCGCCAACGCCTCGGCGTTGACGGACGAGCGTGCAGTGGAAAGATGTGATGTTGGTCCGCTAAACGCCGAAGGATTCGACGAAAGGATCTGATGTGATTGGATCTTCCGTAAAGTTCGCATCGTCCGGGGCGAAGAAGAGCCCGCAAGAGCGGCTAGATTCAACTGGGCTTGTGTTGGCTGGGACATGGCTGGTCCTGTATGACTATGGAACAGGGGTCTGTTTTTAGCGCAAACGATCTCTGCTGAAACGATCGCAGGAAGTGACCATCTTCCTGGCGATAAAGACAGCAGCCAAGAAAGGATGGAAGAAAGAAATAAGCAGCTATTAGTGCCGAGAATCTAGTAGTGTATCCGGGGATAAGAAGGCAGTTAGATGCAGGTTCGGACGATCCGCACCCAATATGCATCTCTGGGCATGGCGGGCTTTTTCCCGATCGAGGAATGCGGGGACACGCGACGCGCCACCAATAGATCATTGATGTTTCGACTTGGAGATTACTTCTTTATTCATTTTCCAATGCCTCACTTAGAAAAGGGAAAAAGAGATAACAGATGTTGGTTGTGATGGATCATGTTGGGTCCTCGTAAATAACCCGTCGGCCCGCCAACAGAAGCGTCATGTGTAGGAGCAACTAATGGATATCTCGAATACCAGGTACTTGCGTTTGGATGTAATTAGCAGGAACATACGTCGTTGCACGGCTTCCAGAGCCGAGAATTAAGTATACAGTATAAGAGGTACATCTCATATGTCAAACGCAAGCTCGCCGTCCAAAACGCCAGATCCAAAATCACAGCGACTAACGAATAAGTTCTATCTCGCGACAGTATCAGGATCTCTGCGCCCACTTGCTGATCCTCCTATGGCACTGTCAACAAACTCCTGATACCGAAAGACTTCTCCTCTTTTCCCTCCTGCAGACAGTTTCCCGGCTTTGCTACTAAATTCTCTGCGTCCGGTGAATCCACTCAAAACCTCGTTGATGTCCTTCTCCGTCAGGGGTGGCTGTCCATCCTCCGACGCTGTGTGTAAAAGGGTATCGCGAAGCTCTGCAACATCAATCTGTCCGCTATCATCGTCGTCAAAAGCAGCCAAGGCATTCATCAGTTCCTGCCGAGATGAAAGCGGCGCAAGTAGACTTGACAAGATATTCAGAAATGTAGGGAAATTGATTGTCTGATCGCTTCCTGGAGGGAAGAATTGCGAAATTATCGACGCATCCTGGCCTGAATTATAACTCGGGTAAGTCCAACTTCTTTGAACAACAGAGAAGGCCATTGACTTACCGATATTCACAAGTACATCAGCTACATCGTCCTTGTTGACCGACCCATCGTTGTCTCTGTCAAGGACTTGGAATGCCTCGCGAATCTCCCTCAACTGTGCAGGGGCCAATCTGGCAGCTGCATCGCTCGAAGCAGCCATCATGCTGGCAGTCTTTGCTTCCATGATAGAGGAGGAATCATCGGGGGCGTCTGCCCCCTTGGTTGGCGAGGACGGCACCTGCCTGGTAAACCTAGGTTGTGGGATTCGGTCATTGCTCTTCGGAGAGGACCCATCGTCATCTGCGACAGTATATGTCTGGTTTAACTTGCTTGGTGACTGTACTGGAGTATATCCTCGCCCCGGAGAGCTTCCTGTAGTTCCTGGTGTGCTGGGACGGATCTGTGCGGGCGGCGAGTTAGGTGTAGACGGTCGACGAAAGGGAGAAGCTCGAGGAGACCCAAAGGATAAGGGCGATGGCCGGAAGGGTGAATTTGAGACCTGCAATACTCTTGATCAGCCTGATATGATTCTGGCTATCGGCTGCTGCGGTGAGGGGAAGCAGCACACCATGGTATGATATCTTTGTGAATTCTGATCTAGGTATTTTCAATGATCATAGGTATTCTTCTTAAATTCTACTCCAGAATTTCAATCAGTAGCAAAGATAAGTAGCACCGGTTCAGTTTGCACTGGACGCTGAGGTTATCTGCGTCTTCAAGGCGATACCGTAACCATGCCTCGGACCAGACAAACAAACAAAACAGCGCATGGATGACGGCATAAAGTCGGCCCGCTTCTTGGCACGTGCGGGTCTGCGGGGATCTTGATCCTCCAGTTGATGCTGAATCCTACAGCAGACAGATAACAAGAGTTTCCATGAATTGTGTTTCCTGGGAATCTTCGTACGTCCTTACGATGTTCCATCCTTTACTTCGTCCATGAACTGGATGAAGTCATGAGATGTCCAAGGCCAGCCCTGCGAAAACTGTGCTTGGAACAGAATAAATCCGCATGTGGATGGTCTTATAGCCAAACAGGAGGCAATGGCCACGCTCAGGTCGACTGCAACGACTCGAGGCCTCCGGGATATGAATCAGATGATACCCGCATCATGAGGGACGGAAAACCATGCTCCAAGTAGCGCTCGTCCTGAAGCCTTGAACAGGTCTACGAGGAGTAATTGACAGCCATCTGGTCGGGTTACTTCGCTTTCCCCGGCAATTCTGCATACTGCTATGTATCGCTTTCGGATATCTGCCGAAGTCAAACGGGCGTATGTTCTGCTGGACAATTGGGCTTGACAAGTCCATCTGAGAACCCGCGCAATCTGTTTGCGAACTTGGGAACTGGACGAAGGCGTTTGGTCTCCAGAACAAGGGGATGCGCATTATCTGATAAGGGCAGGTTCCAGACCTCTGTCACCTCCAGCAGGGCCTTCTGACTGTGACAACAAACGCGCGGAGGTTCTAGCGATTCGGAAATATTCCCGGTACGCTGGTACGCTCTTCTGAGTGAAAAGGACTGGATTTTCTCCTTTGAGATTGCCACGAGGGAAGAAGGGATCGGGTATTCATTGAGACTACGTAGCGCTCAAGTCGTAGCGCAGATAGACAGATATCGGTTTCGCGAGTTTTTTGTATAAATGAATGCGGACCAGCCCCCGTTCACGATCACATTGGCAATCATCTTTCAATACTCTATAAGGCGATCTTAACAAACGGTTTCCCAGTCTGTCTAATCTGGCAAACGATCAGAATCACGCTTGCAAACGTAGCATGTGCTGAGGACGGAAATGGTCGTTTCGCGGGACTAGACTGTGGGAGATTGGAGTCTAAAACACACGTCGGATCAGTGTACCTGCATGGTCTATTCGCGAATCACACCGGGTGTGGTTGAAGTAGTCTTAGAATAATTTCCTGTCATGCAAGGGCCCAGCGGAGTATTGTTGCGACCTCACGATGGGATTGATCTGGTTCAGGTACTGCTTCCCGTCGACTTTCCCCGCTGTGGAGATGGTTGGTACGTGGTGGTTTGGTTCGATGGGTTGAGGCGTCCCCTTTTTCCCTTCAGATCGACTGCGCAAGTGAAACCCCTGAAAATGAACGGACGAACGACGATCGACTAAGCTTCCGATCGGTCACAAACTGACTAACTAGCAGATTGGCCATGGCATCCTACTTACTCAGGACTCTTTAATGTCCATTGATGCGAGATATGCGGTGATTATACCCATTTCTCTGCTAGGAGCAGTCCTACCCCGTATCTCTTATCCTCCCATTGCTTTTCTTCCTCACTACCGAAAATGACCACCACTCTTCCGTTCCGACCGTCCGACGATTCTGCGCATCCATTTCCTTCCGTTTCGAACCCCTCGAAGTCCAATGGCCTGCCCCGATTGTCTCCATCCCCCTCGGTCGTCAAGAACCGATCTCCCAGCAGCTCAAGATCTTTGCGTCGGCCCTCCGGAGCTCATCTCGCTGCCCCTCGTGCCTCCAGACCCCGACGATGCAAGTCACAATACCCTTTAGACTCATCGGAGCGCCATGTCGAGTACATCCTCGTCGCGTCCTTCCACATTGACCGGGGTCCGATCATGGAACATCAGTATCCGGCGCCCATTAGCGGAGATGAGAGCATGCTCGCGGAATTGATGCTGCCGGACCAGACACATGTACGGAGCCAAGACTGGACCATCTTTTTCTTACACAAAGACACCAGTGCGGAGGGAGAGGATGAGGATTCAACGACGGCGAAGAAAAAACGGCGGAAAAGGGCAAGGGCAGAGCAGAACCCAGACGAGGAGAGCCAGGACGAAGATACCGATGCTCTCACGGAAGAGAGCAGCGACGAGGAAGACGATGGTGGCGAGGGGCCACCGTTGATGTACGTGCTTAATCTTGTGAATACAAAGCAGGATAACACAGTCAGACGGTTCGTTCTCCTGCTCTACAGCCTCGTAACCCATTCAACTAATTTCATCTGCAGAGGTGCGGTCGTCAAGGCGATGGCAATCTGTACACGCCATTCATTCCTTCATATCTACAAGGTGATTTCACCCCAGCTTCAATTGAGATGAACATGAGCTCATACCATTGGCATCATAGCCCTTGCTATTACTGGCGCTGGAGGACTATTTCAAGTCGCCGTACCCCGAGACTCTGGCGACGCTGTACAACGCCGTCAACGAGATGGATCTGTCATTGATGCCCAAGCTTTCGCTTTTGGAACGACAGATTTTGCAGGCTAGTAATGCGAAGGACATGTTTATCGAAAAATTCGAGCAGATGATCCAGCAGCGACTGATCGAGGAGGGAGAGCCTGTGGAAGACACCCCGCCCTCGCCCAAAAAGCCCGCCCCTCGGTATGCGCTTCCCCGCGACACTCACGAGTTCGAATCGCGAGTCATTTACAATGACATTCCCATTCCTGTCAAAGTGCCAACTGTTATATGGCCCGAGATTGTGGGAGACTTCTCTCTCATCAAGCTCATCCAGACGTTCTCTACTGTTCATGCCACAGCACCTCAGCCCTTTCCGCTTCACCCACACTTGACCACCAACGGTTCCTATACGCACCCGATCATCGTCCTTGTCAACGCCATGCTCACCCAGAAACGGGTGATCTTCTTGGGCCACAATCGGCCCTCGGGCGAAGTAGCGGAGGCAGTTCTGGCCGCGTGCGCTCTTGCGTCCGGCGGGATCTTACGTGGCTTCACAAGGCATGCCTTTCCCTATACCGACTTGACGAAGATCGATGATCTGCTGAAAGTTCCTGGTTTTATCGCTGGAGTAACGAATCCCACGTTCGCAAATCATCCCGAATGGTGGGACCTCCTGTGCGACCTTCCCACCGGCAGAATGAAAATCAGCAGCCACATCGAGCCCGCCCCGGTTACGGAGGGTCTGCTGTATTTTCAACAGAGCTCTTTCCTCCAAAACTACACGCCGAGCGCCCATCCGGATCCCACCGGTGACAACGCCTTCATGGAAGACGTTCAACGGAGTATCACTAACCGTTACGGAGAGAATGCGATCCGTGCGAAATGGCGCGCATACATTACCAAATTCACGCGCGTCGCGGCTGCGTTTGAGGAGACCGTGTACGGAGCGTCGAATCTCTACATCATCGGGCCTAACGAGGAGCTATCTCCGGAGAGCCCGAGTGGTGTCCAAGCCGACCCCCTGGACCCCACAACGCTACGTGGCCATGGCTATGTGTGGCCCGACGAGGCAACGAAGCAGCGAGAATTGATCGCCTCTGTGTCGCGAATCGAAGGCTGGCGCACGACACGGTCCTACTACTCGTTTATACAGGACATCGCGGCCATGTACTACCCCGCAAGACCAATCCAGAAACCTGACCTGCACCATCACCATGATCGGCTGCGCACTTTGCGGCTATCTCATGCCGACGCTGGAGCTATCTACCTTGCCTTTTCCCATGCTGTCAAGGACTACGCAGGCATATGCCAGCTTCTAACGGTGACGCCAGAAAGCCAAGCCGGGCTGTTCTACATCAGCATGGGCCTATTCCATCCTGATCAGTCGGTTCGTGAAGCAACCGCCGATCTTCTCGATCGAATAGCTGCTCACCCCGCCGGCCGACACTTCTGGGCCCAACTCAGCCGCTTCAATAAACTGGCATACTTCCGAGTCCGACGCGAGAGGGATGCAGCGCAAAGCCCTGTATCAGGGACAGGGTCGAGTTTTGGGGCGCCGCAATCTCTCATTGGAATTGCCACTGGCAATGCCTCAAGGCGAAGCTGAACTCACCTAAAACATCTTGACAACACGACTACAACGTTCTCGTCTATATTACATATAACGACAGTGAATATATCTATTTGGTTATACAATTCTTGGATATCATTTTCTTTTTTTTCTTTCATGTGGATGGGGAGGTCGGTTTCACCTCATGTGTATTGTTCTAGGCGATGTGGCATGCAATGACATGGCGGTATGATATTTGATGAAGTTATTCAATTCAGTGTCGATACTTGGAATACTATGCAGCATAATGACCCTGTTCCTTGATTCCAACTATCAATGTTGTTAAGGCACGAAGCACGTAGGAGTTGTAATTACATTAAATCTATATAAATATGACAGTAAGGTGAACATCCAAGGAAGTAGAACATGCCAAATTCACACTCGCTGTCGTTATCCATACAACCATGACCTGCA